CTGGTAGGGCGATGGTCCTGACACTGAGGTAGGATAGTAGGGATAGGGGGTGCGCTGGGAGCATCAACGTGGGGAAGGGTAGGGAAGGTGGCCTATCCTGTCAGGACAACCACCGGCTGCCGCTGCCAGCAATCACTGTGGGTCTAGTCCTTGGCCTCAACAACACCATGGGCTTCAAAAAAAAAAAAAAAAAAAAAGATGCGCTACAGCCAACCGGGGGGGAACCGGCCCGGTCGACCGGCTGGTAGGACCGGTCCGGTTCCGGTTGGGGGAGGACCCCCCGGTCCTACCGGGTTTTCAGCACTGGAATAATCACAAATTTTGTGTTGGCGATTTTGCGATTATGAGGCACTGCCTGGTCACACGGCTCACCCGCATCTGGCACAAAACAGAAAAGACATGACCATGACCAGTCCTCGAAATGCGGATTTATGCCCGTGTGGTCACATGGCGTAATATTGGCGTTTTCGGTTTCGTCTTTTCATTCAAAAAGGAAAAAGAGAACCATAATTCCTGCTCAACGCGACTTTCGCAGCAAAACTGCTTGCTCTCACATCCACATGCTTCATGAATGAAGAATCCCGCCGTGCGCCACGGCGGGTAGACTTGTTTTTCAAAAGAAGAAAGGGCCGCTTCACCAGGTTTCCAGCAGATTGAAAGGATTTCACACTGCAGACAAGCCCGAGTCCCAGGTCCCAGTGCCGTGTTCCAATCCCAGTCCCAGGTCTCAGTCCCCAAGTCCCACTCCATGTTCCATTAGTGGTTCCAGCCACTTGCACAGTGCTGACGAATACTCTGAAAGAGTAGTTTTCGTTTGTACCATGGTTACAGAGGCCATGGCAAGTTAAGTAGATTGTGGTAGGAAGCCCCTAGAAAGTAATGGTTATGGGTAGAGGAGTCTGTCTCTAGGAGGCACCACAGATTTCCGCCCCGATCACCGGAGTTGTCAGGCCTGGTGTCAGTCGGTTCACGCAAGAATCCGGATCCAAGGAGAGTCCGTAAGCTTCCAGAAGCAGCAAACAAAGGCAAGGGGGAGAACCCATAACAAGGCGGATCAGCAAGTATAAGAGTCCAGCGGCACCAACAGGTGGGGACATCTGTTCATTCGCGAAAGTTGTGGAAGTGCTGCTGCTTGCTTGTGTGATAGTGCAATTCGGACTGAGGATTGGTGCTGGAGGAGCAAGTGCCCGGAGGGAAAGAAGGCGGCCATAGCTGCGGAGGTCTGAGGTGGAGCGATGCGGGTTTATTCAGGTCCTAGTAGAGATAAGAGTGAGAAAGAGAACAGTGAGGCGAGCGATAGAAGTTTTGAGGGAGAAACACACCGAGGAGGAAGGAAGTTGGGTTCATACCCGAATTGGATCGCAGTTCTTGTGAGCACCAGAGTCATGTGGGGAAACCGAACTCTTTCGTTGTATGCTATATCAGATGAGCGGTGTTTTCTCAATGCCTTGGTTTGAGCCTCATCTTTGCAGTGTGGTCTGATCTCATGTGAATGTTCCGTTTGTGGGTCGCTGAGTTTCAGTGTTGAGTTGAGCAAGGTTCATTGCAAGATCCTGCTGCCCTCACCAAGCCAGTGCATTCTGGTGTAACTGGAAGTGTCTTAGGCTCATAGTACACTCCGACAAGGGGCGTATTTTTCCTCCCCATGAGTTTTGGTGGGGACCTGCTGGGAATTTTCCCTTTTTTTAAGTTTTTTTCCATTTATTTTGAACCTTAGCCACAAAGATGATGATTAAGCCACATGACAATCCCTCATACAGATGCCCAATGATGAACCTGTAGTGTTGACCACCCAGCTCCCTTGACTCAACCAAGCCTATTCCAGGACAACTCCACAAGGGAGTTGCACCAGGGGGGGGTTGGAGGAGGGAAGGGTCTGGGAAGTATGAAGCAGGTCTCATTGGGAAAGAGGAATCAAGGTGGGCCCAATCTCGAATCACCAGGCAAACCTTCTGCAACTTGGCCACATGGCCCTGCACCTCTGCAGTAACCTTGGAGTCCCTTCTCTGGGACATCAAGCCAGCTGTCCTTTTTTGTCTATTCTAAATGGCCCAATAAACAAGGGATCAGAGATTATACCAATCAGAACAAACACCACACTCGATCTTAGCCTAAAGACCGAGGAAGCTATTGAAAAAGCCTTAGCAGATGAAAATTTGTATAAAGTGGTTCCCCGAGGCTGTGGGCTGTGCAAGTCTTCCTGAGTTTTCCCAAAAACACAGACGAAAAAAAAGAAAAGGAAAAAACAGTATATAAATGGCTGAATCCATTCAATTACTAAGTGTGACTTACATGTGTGTTGATTCTTCGAAATCTGGAAACTTCTAATGGTCACCACAGAATATACGTGGGGTCAACAAGTGGCGCAACTGGGATACACGAGGACACTCTCAGATGTGTGGCATATGTACAAGCCGGACAGGGTGCCGCGGATTGTGCGGTGCCATCTTGTGGGCTTTGAGGCAGCTGCAAAAAAAGGCATACTCTGTCACTCTAGGACGTTTTTAGTTGTATTTATCTGACTACGATTATGGCTGATCCCTGACGGATAGTGTGAGGTTGGCAGGTTGCCCTGGGAAGCTCACTACTGACGGGGGATGTGAGGTGGTTGTGGTGGTTGGGATTGGGATCGATGTAGCAACCTTGACACTGAGGTTAGTGGACTGCTTGTTCCTGTCCCCAACTGAGTTTGTCCTGGGGCTATCCAGCTTTGGATAACACGACCAGGTTCCAAAAGAGTAAGGAATGAGAAGGTGGCCAGATTCAGGCAAACTAGCTTTGTCTCATGGCGGGTACGCCTGAAGGCGGCATCTGATCTGTGCAGCTAAACGTGTGAACCTTGGTGGGGAGCGAGAGTGGTTAGGTTATCCGTTCCGTCAGCAGCTATGGTGGCCAGGTCGGCCCTTTGCACATCTACACTCTCCACGTGGAAGCTCCATGGTGATGCAAGTGACAGGGGAAGTTTTGTTCCTCAGAAGCGAAGCACAACAAGAGTGCAGCTGATTTCTGTGGGACGATCTCCCATCTTTTGCTTGGGGACCTCCTTGCTTCGGAATAAAGTTTGGCACCTGGTAGCCAATGAGACACAGTTGTTCCGGGAGCCCAAGTCAATAACGAATGTTACAGTAGGTGGCCGTCGATGCCTGCGACAGCTCACAAGCACTCAGTGGCCGATTGTGGCAGGTGAGAGATGGTTATCAAGAGGTAGGAGATGCGAGACAGGAGGAGCAAGATGGGAAGGAGCACACCAGAGAAATTTGCGCCAGCCCGATCACACGAGTCTGCACAGCTCTCAGAAACGAACAGCAGTTGGCGTTGTTGAGATCAATGCCAGCATGAGCTTCATAGCCCATGCAGCTACAGAAGATATGGGATTCACAGCTCAAGCAGGAGAGCAAGAGGGAGGGGAGGAGGTGGGAAGCTATCAGCTGGACGAACGCCAACGGCATGCTGATGACAGCCAAAAACAGGTGCCCTATGACTGGCAGGCGGAGTGGTACCCGGTCTGGTATTCCCAGGAATTCCCTGACGGGAAACCTGTGCCCATTACTATCTTTGACAAGCCACTGGTGCTGTACAGAGATAGTGCAGGGATAGCCCGTTGCGTGGAGGACAAGTGCCCACATCGGCTGGCCAAGCTCTCGGAAGGACAGGTATGTGGTAGCTTGACTGTCTGCTTGATTATGAAACCTCCCCCCCCAGCAAGCACTCTTCACGCCTTGCTTCACCACTCACCCGGTGTGGAAAAGCCAGCGAGCCCTTTGGCACACGTCCCTGGGTTTAGGGGCACACACACATACTCCACGTGCACCACACACAAATACCCATGCATAGACACATACTCCAGGCATGAAACCCACAAAAGACAGCTAGAGCAAGACAACGGCAACAGCAGCACTAACATCAACACACACACACACACACACACACACACACACACACACACACACACACACACACACACGCACGCATGCACGCACGCACGCACCCACCCACCCACACACACACACACACACACACACACACACACACACACACACACACACACACACCATGCCCCTTTCTGGTTGGACGAAGGTTTGAAAAGTAGAGTTTGCAGGGGCAGCGCTATGCAAGTGTACAAATGCACTCCCCTGCTCCCCAACTGACCCTGCCACCTACCTGGTAACTCATTGTACTCCCACAGTTTGGTTCCTTAAATGCTTTCTGAATAAATGTTTTACTACACAGACTATTGCGAGGCTCAACGCCTCGATAAGCCCTACTGGGCCCTTTTTTCAGCAATATCGGCCACCCTAAGTGAATGCAGGCCTGACAGGGGATGAGCGGCCTATTTTGGGCTTATCACGCAAAAATTCAGGCAGTTGTGCAGCGCCAGTTGGTTGAGAGAGTCCAGGCCCTGCCTGCTTTTTTCAAATGTATCTGAGGCAGGCCCTGGGCTAGACACGGGGCATGGACTGCACACAGGCCGCTGGCAGTTGGACACGGGTAACCACCCCAGGCCCTGTGCCTGATTCCCTTGGACCGGGGTTCATCCACTTGGGGCCTACCGAAAGCTTCTGGGCAGGGGCCCAGCACAGCCAGGCAGCACACATAAGGCAGGCCACTTCCATATAGGAAAGTGACTGCCGCCGCATTCGGCATTCGGGCACTTGCTACATGCTGCGCGAGCGCTGCTGCACTATCAGCTGACAAGCGCCCACACGCTCAAGGGCGAGCAGGCCACACGCAGGCAGCCATTGCCGATCTAGCCTGCGAGGTGCTGGATGAGGCCTGTCTCTTATACACATCTAGATGTGTATAAGAGACAGGCTACATGCTGCGCGAGCGCTGCTGCACTATCAGCTGACAAGCGCCCACACGCTCAAGGGCGAGCAGGCCACACGCAGGCAGCCATTGCCGATCTAGCCTGCGAGGTGCTGGATGAGGCGCATGGTGGTCCTTGGGTGCACGTGGCATCTGTGTGGGAGATCGAGGTTGTGAGTGATGCGTGCAATATACCTGGTGCTTGAGGCGAACGGAATTGGCTGAGATCTGCTCGTACTTCGGGGAACTGTTGACGTCACCAGCGACATTGTAGATAGGCTAGATAGGATCTGCCATTCGCAGTCTGGGCGCTGAGCGCCAGATAGGGAATCGACATTGGCTCATTGATGATGATGATGAGACTATTCCAACATTGTCACTTGTGAGCTTTTGCTGTGCTCTTATTTGGTGGAACTTGTGTTGCAATTCTACTTTTGGTTCGAGGTCACGACTATCTGGTTTCATGTGTATGATGCTGCTTGGTCTCTGGAATTCGCTATCACTCATTTTCGTTGCACTCTGAATCGGCACCAGAAAAAACAATAGGTAGTTTACCCACAAAAGCACTTTGTCCCAAAGCACGTGCGTCCTAATGAAAGGACACATAAAACATGCAGCTGGGTTCTGCGTTTGTGTGCGTAAGCTGCAAAAATGCAAAACAACACCAGGTGTGGCAGTGTTTTGTGTGTATGTGTTGGTTATCGGAACTTATCGCGATCTTGCAAAAACTCCTGAGCAGCTACTGCCCTAAAGTTGACAGTTAGAGTTACTACCGCCGTTTACTCGGAATTCCATTTGAACCCTACGTCACTTCTCTGCCACGCGGTAACACGATGTATAGAGTCTGACACCTGCCCAGTGCTGGAAGGTGAAAAGGAGAAGTGACATAAGCTTCGAATGGAAGTCCAGTAAACGGCGACAAAAATTCTCATGGACAACTTTAGGGCAGTATTAAAATCTGGCTATAGCCTTGTTATATTCATGGATAGTTGTTTCTATAAAGTAGTCGAGTTCATCAAGGTATATATCTGATAGTTGGGGATTAAGACCGAAGTACCCGGCGGCACCTAGGGACCTAGGGTCGCCTCTCCAATCTCTCCGTGCGGCATATGAAGAAACAATTGTAGAGTTTGAGAATCCGTTTATTGTTGGCTGGATGATCTTATACAGAGTTCCATGATTTACGTCTCTAGGGCCTTCGGCCTCTAGGGATCCTTCACCCTTGCACACCATGAATAAAGAAATCCCATGATTTTACAGTTTAGGTTTTTAGGGTTCAGGGTTAAGGGTTTGGGATCTTGGGGTTCAGGGTTTCTAAGGCTCAGGGTTTAGGGGGTTGGGATGTTAGCATACAGGGTGTAAGCCTGTAAGGTATTAAGGTTCAGGGTAAGAAGTTTTAGGGTTAAGGGTTAAGGTTTTGCTGGTTTAAAGTTTTTGGGTTCTAACGTTCTGGGGGTAGTCTTTGGAGTTTAGGATGCTAGGGAAAGGTTTTTTATAGGGTTTATGGTTTAAAGGCTTAGGGTTTTAGGGATTCGGCTTTTAGCATTCCAAACCATCTATCCATCCAACCTGTCAGTGTAGATTTTTTGTGTGAACGACTACCATAGCTAAATCCATAGTGACAAGGGATGGCGTAGGTTCGGAGGGACTGAGCCAGCAAGCCCTTGAAAGTTTAAAACACCTACTGTGTTTAGATGTGTGCAGCACGACGAACGTGTTTGCGGCCCTTCCCATTCGGGCGAACACGTTCACACGTTCGCGCGAACGGGTCGTGAACACATTTGAGAACGCGTTTTCGAGGCCCACAAACGGGGCTCACCTGTGCCGGTACCGGTCGCCAAGAGAGTTTTGGAGGGACCTGCAGTGCATGTATGGAGGTGGTCGTCTGTGTGTGTGTGCGTGTGCTCGTGTGTGTGTGCGTGTGCTCGCGTGTGTGTGTGTGTGTGTGTGTGTGTGTGTGTGTGTGTGTGTGTGTGTGTGCGCGTGTGCGTGCGTGCGTGCGTGTGTGCGTGTGTGCGTGCGTGCGTGCGTGCATGTGTGTGTGTGGGTGTGAGAGAGAGAAATGCATTAGCAACCATAGCAACCCGAAAACACGGGAACCTCCACATAGATCCATTCACATGCTGCTTGCACTGCACTACCCATCCGTAGGGTTGACTAATGCCACAAACCAGCAATCCCTACAGACAAGACCAAAGGAATATAGCGGGTCCCTCGAAGAAAGAACACGTGAGATGGATAGCGAAAGAAGGGAAGAGAAGGGGGGAGAAAGGTAGCATTAATGGCAAAGCCATCATCATCAATAGCATAGTAGCCAGCCCCAGGTATTCTCCTGCGTCCGTCGCAGATACCCATGGAATGTCATACGAAGGCCACAAAGGCAAGACACGAAGCGAATGACAACAAGCAACAAGGCATTAGACAACGACCAATTGCACGAAGGGTGGATGAGATGGGGGAGGCGGGTGGGCAGACAAGCAGCACAAGACAACAAGGGAAGAGGCATAGAGTGCCAAGTTGAAAAAGAAGAGAGCGAAAAAAATAAAAACTGATGATGACAGAATGTTTCGTCGGAGTTGCACCGACTCATCAGGACGCTGAACCCTCGACAATCTGCGGAATCCTCGTATAGGATGGTTTGGGTCATGAACCCTTTGACCCTTGTTGAAGGCAGATTGCCCACAAGCGGAACATAGCAGGGAGCAACAACTCTGCGAAGCACCAGGCAACGCACCCGAAGCCACTCAACTGCACAGCGCCATAAAACGACTGCAAGGAACGACACGGCAAGCGGACGAGCAGCACAACAACCATGCAGTGAAGCATAAGGCAACACCAACAAGGTAGCCAGACTACACGACGCACTAGGAAGGAACGCGGAAGTCACAGCGGCAAGCAACAACTCTGCAAAGCACCAGGCAACACACCTGAAGCCACTTAACTGCACAACGTGAAGGGCGACTGCAAGGAACGACACGGCAAGCGGACAAACGGCACAGCAACCATGTAGCGAAGCACAAGGCAACACAAGCACGACAACCACACTGCAACGAACGACAGGGCGAGCGGACCAGCAGCTCGGGAACCGTGCAGCGAAGCACAAGGCAACGGCCACAAGGCAACCAACCTACAAGGCACGCGTGCAACAAATACGGAAGGCACGGCCAGCGGATGGGCAGCAAGGCAGCGGAGCAAGGAAGCGCAAGGCAACACCGACAACACGGCCACACCACACAGTGAACACAGCAACCTGCAGAGAACCGCATGCGAAGCAAGGGGGACAGGCAGCAAGGCGGCGGTGGAGCGTAAACGAGGCAGTCCACACATCCAACACGGAGCGAAGCGGCGCATGACCTACTCACATCACGATTGAACCCCACAGACTGTTGGTTCCCACCACCCACTAAGCCAGGGAGTCACTCCGATGAGCATCTGTCATCACCCAGAGGCAACACAGACATCCCGAACCGAGCGGCCCCCCTAAGAGTGCAGTAGGCACTCCAAACGAGGAACCACCGACTGCTTAGCACAGACAACAGAAGAGAGACTGACAGACATAAAACTGATTGTGTGTGTGTGTGTGTGTGTGTTTGTGTGTGTGTACATGTGTGTGAGTCTGTGTGTATCTGTGCACAGACATAAAACTGATTGTGTGTGTGTGTGTGTGTGTGTGTTTGTGTGTGTGTACATGTGTGTGAGTCTGTGTGTATCTGTGTGTGCACCTGACAGTGCATTGCACAGTCTGCTGCTGACTGACAAAGCAGCAGACTGTGCAATGCAATCCTGGGCAGACTGTGCAATGCAATGTCTGCCACACACACACAAACACACACACATCCATCAGTCAAATGCATCCTGGGCAGACTGTCGGGGTTCAAGCTCCTGATGAGTCGGTGAAAGTCCAGCGAAACAGTCTGGCACAGTCATGCTTTTTTGAGTGTATAGCGAATATGACAACACACACACACACACACACACACACACACACACACACACACACATGGGGCCTCTTTTAATGACTCTTAGAGAAGAGGGGGGGGGGGTCAGGGACACAGGCTGTTGCATACCCTAACGGTACAGACCAGACCAAGAACCGACCTTTCTCACAAGATACCAGATAGCACAACGGAAGGCTTAAATACCAATGATCAGCTCAATCAAGCTGCCATGCAGACCAAACATGCATCGTCATCATGCCATGGTGTGAAGGGGGCTGACGCTCACACAGGAAGATTGTGTCAGTCCCCGATCATGCACAGACGAAGAAGAGGGGGATTAGACGAAGGGGAGGGGAAGATGGAAATGTCGTCAACACCAAGTCTTCGATATCAGTCCCAAATAATCCCTCGCCAAAGGTCTGAATCCTGATGCTGAGTCTGAACCCAAATGTCGTCAAATCCCAATGTCGCCCATCTCTCTCTCTCTCTCTCTCTCTCTCTCTCTCTCTCTCTCTCTCTCTCTCTCTCTCTCTCTCTCTCTCTCT